CTCTCTCTCTCTCTCTCTCTCTCTCTCTCTCTCTCTCTCTCTCTCTCTCTCTCTCTCAACCTTTCTGAATATCAGTTTACTCCACTGTACAATAAGAAATTGGCCCAGACTGTCATGTCAGCCCTTCTCAGGGCTAACACCTTACTCTTCTTCCATATGAATGACGTCTAAAATATCTAAGACACAAGCAGAAGGCGAGATACTTGGCCAAGAATTAGTCCTGTTCACAGCTCTGTGAGTTTGGTTGCTCCTTGCCTGGTGCGCTGCCAGTTCAGAGCCTCTGCCTCTGCCTAAAGATCCTCTAACTGGACCCACCCCTTAGACAAGCTCCTTCTCCAGGTACCAACCTATTTCTTTCTTGTTTAAGAAAGTTTCTGGAAAGAATTATCTCCATTCCCTGTCTGATGTTCCGTCCCAGTCATGCTCGCCCCATGACCTGACTATGTTAGTGACGGCCACCACACACCTGCCAATGCGCGCTTCTCAGTCTGCACCTGTGCTCTCTTCAGCCCTGGGACCTAGGACTCCTCACTCTCTTCTTCCAGTTTTCAAGATGCTGCTGTCTGAGCTGGAAGAAAGGAGCTACTTCCCCTTCCTGTTTCCATGATGCCCCTCAGGACTCTGCTCCCACTCTGCTCTCTATGTTCTGCCTATTCATATGTGCTCTGGCCACCACCTACGAGCCCACAGCAAATTCTGTTTCCAGGCCAGAACCATCAAAACTTGGGGCCACCTCCCCTATGCTGCCTTAGGGACCTCTAATGTCCAACGCCAAATTTATTCAATTTTTTTTTCTCTTTCCATGATCCTGTCTCCTGAGACAGGTTCTGAAAGCCCCCTCAGCCCCTTCCTCTCTCCTGTTCGCTGCCCCTTCTGTGTGTCCCTTTAGTCCATATCTTTGTCCTCATTCCCAGGTCAATGCCTTAGCTCAGGGGACTTATATTTCTTTCTGAATTCTTTCCAGTAGCTTCTTAACTTCCCCCTTCCCTATAGATTTTGCTACTTCTGCTCTGACCCCCACAGTGCTGCAATGAGATCGTCCCACAATGCAAGAGTGAGAATGTACCTTTTTACTTAGCACCTTCACCAACCTGGATCTCCAAGTCCTTTGCTCGCTGCTTTGTGCCTTCCTGTACAGCCAAGCCACATTTCCTGGCATCTCCTTCTAGTCCTAAACAAGCCCTCGCTTACACTGTCCTCTCCCTGGGCTGCCCATTCCCCAGCTTCTTGTTTGCTCAGGGACTGCTCATTCTCCAAAGCCCAATCAGATGTCTTTCCCTCTTAAAAGTCTCCCCTGGCACTGTGCACCCCTCCCACTTAATCATTCCCTCCTCTGGCCCTTTCTTGTCTAGTTCCTTCTCAGCATACTGCATACTGGGCTTTTAAAATTTTGTTTTTACAGGCAATAGCATTGTCTTCTCTGCTGAAAATAAGTTTCTGAAGCACAGAGATTGTTCTTAGGGACTGGAGCACAGCAGGTTTGAAGGATGCATCTTGAATTAAATTATGCAGCCACGTATGCACCATTCATTGGTGGTTCAGGCTGGCGGTAGTGTGTTAGAACTGAGGAAAACTAAGCAAGACAAAATTGCAAAATCCACCAAGGGCAGTAGTAGGGAACTCACCAAATTTTTCTTTGAAATTAAAACCTCAACTAGGTGTCTTTATCTTTTGTAAAATCTGGTACACTTATAGTGTACGCAATTTAATCTCAGCATAAATGCAAACTGCATATTACTCATCACTAAGAAAAGGTTGAACAGTATTGTTTTCAGTCTCCTACCTTGCAATCCCAGGGTTTTGCAGCTAACGGAGAAATACTTGAAGGCTACATGTATTTGTTTAGTAGTTTTTAGCTCTTTGATATTTACTTTGCATTTTTGTGGTGCTAGAGGTTGAACCCCAGACCTCGTGTATGCTGGATAGGTTCTTCACCACTGAGTTATATTTCCAATCCTTCACCTGTGTTTGCAACCAGAAGTTTTATAGCTGTACAATTTACACCTATCTGTGATACAATTTTAGTTCTGTGTATGACATTTAGGTTGAGCTTCATTTGTTTCTTTTATGTACTGTGGATATCCAATTGCTCCACACAAAATGACTATTCTTGCTTCATTGGAAAAAAACATATGCAGCCAAGATAGGGCACTGTCTTCAAAATTTTTGTGAAGTAGCTATTTACATCAAAAAAGAAATGCTAAATGTACATATATTACCTAGCTATTATCTATGTACTCTCCTCTCTCTTTCAAAGACTATTTTCCCAAATCGTGTACTTCCTTGGAAAATGTGTATTACCCCCATTTTTTCTGGTTACCTCACTTTCTTCTCGTTTTGTTTTGCATATGCCTGTTTCTCCAAGTCAGACATCAGGCTCACTTTCTCCCCAATGTTAGCAAGGGGGAGTCTAGATCATATGCTGACTCCCTTTTCACATCCCCAGGCCTATGGCTAACCTTCCACTCTGGCCTGCTCTAACTCCCGTCGCCTCATCTCCCAGTGTGTAGTCCTCTAGAGAAATTTCAGGAGAGCCCATGGTCTCCCTCACTGACTTCACCAAGGTTTTAAACCATGGGTAATGACTCTAGGGAAAACTCTAAATTCAGTGACCTACTGCTCTGACAGACAGGCACTTCTGTCCTAACTAAAGATGGGGCACTTGCAATTATCTCCCTGAAGAACGGCACAACAAAGGAGCACCACATTTTCTAGGCAGTCGAGGCTAATGAACCCTGTAGAAACTGGCAAAGTCACCAAGAGGCATGTCGTGTGGAGGCCATGCTCTCCCCTCCTTCACATCAGGTCTGGGTTGGGCACTTGATGTACATCGGCTCGCTGAATCTTCATAACATCCCAGAAGGCAGGCTGATTTTCACTAGGCTTTCCCCTCTACAGTGGAGCCTACAGAGATCACACAACTTGCCCAGGGGAGAGCCAGCCAGGGGATGCCTGAAGCCCAGCTCTGGCATCTTTCTCCTTCTGGCCAGTGCTTTCCACTTTACAGGAACAGTAAGACTTAATATGCATTAAATGATAACATGAAGAACACTGCAGACTTCAAGCACAAAGCAGTGGAAACAATACTGACCCACACTCAGCAGTCTTTGGAGCTGGGACATCCCTGCCCCTGTGCAGAGGACTACAGTAAGGCTCCTTCCCCCTTTCACAGAGGAGACTCCTGACATTGACATTCTGCTGAACTAAGAAAGGGTTTGGCAGATGCCTCGGGGAATAAAACTGTCAGTTCCGACTTCTCCAAACAAAGATGTCCCTGTACTAGGGAACTGTCTCCTCCACTCCTGGACCCGCGCCCAACAAAACCTCCAAAGGCGCCACTCCCCACAGCTTGGCCCAACCAAGGGGGAGGAGAGAAGAAATGCAATAAACCAGAGGGAATAAAGTTGGAAGGGGACCACTCAGTTGTAAGGAGACGCAAAGACAGGGTTTCCCATCAGTAGGAAAAGCCTGTGACCCCAGGCTATTTTCTGCTCTTTTACAGAATCAAAGACAAGGTACAGTACAGCTCCAGGGGGTGTGTGACAGGAGCAATTATCTGGAGTTAGGGAATGAAGAAACTTTGACAAAATCCCAGAAAAGCCCATAAATGAGAGCCTGTGGAACACAATAGTTTCTGAAAATCCACACGGAAAACTGGCAGAAAAAATAAAGCAGGTATCTACCTGTAGCAAAATGGATTTGCAAAAATGATTCTGTACTCAGGAGCAGAAGGGAGAATGCAGCGATGGTAGATTATTGAAATAATGAACCGAACTCTTACTATCTATATCCCTTTGTAATACGAACTTCTCCACTCCTTCCATTAAGAGGTAGTCTCTCCACTCACTGCAGGCTGGGAAGGCCAGATGGGCTGGCTGGACCAACAGAACGAAGCAGAAATGAGGTCATATGAGTTCTGGAGACTGGGCCTTAAGAGGCTTGTAGCTTCCCAGCTTGCCCTCTAGTAGCTCTGAGTCTTCGTACAGTGAAGAGCATGGTTGATCTTCCAGGAAAGGAGAAACAAAGAGTGTGGCCACGCAGCACCAACTGCCAGACACGTGACTGGTCATCTCAGACTCCCCAGCCCAATCAAGCTGTCGCATGACTCTTGCCGTTTGAGTGACCCCAGGCAAGACCAGAGAAGACTCAGATATCAGAAAAATAATATGTGTCTGTTTTAGGGCACTAGGTTTGGCATCAAATAATTCTATAGCAGTAGGTAAGTTAACAGCAGCAGGAAAGGAGTTTGTCTTTAGGGAAGCTGCTCTGTTCCTGGGTGCCCGTCACTCACAGGTACTGCCTCCTCACCAACCTTCCTCCTTGGAAATTCTAGGTGCTTTGGATGAGGAATAATTATTTCATGGGTTTGGTCCATGGATTTCCATCCGTCTGTGCTGATGAAATGGTTCACACAATAGCATTAGTAAGGGTTAACTCCTGAGGGGCAAAAGGGATGGCATTATAGGCTAGAGATCACAGGGAAGAGATTTTTAACTTGTTTGTTTGTTTGTTTGTTTGTTTGTTTGTAAAGGACAAGGCAAGAAATGCTGGTGCCAGAAAAGCCTCTGGTCTCTGGCTTTGGAGCTTTGTGCAGTACCCGGCCCAGAGCAGGTCCAATAGTCCACGGTAGTGCAGTTCTATAGCCCATGTATGGGAGGGACTCACAGTCTCCTTACTGAAGTGACCACATTTGTGAATATGTGGAAGGAACTGCAATGCAAATAATGAAAATTTCTTCCCTCACTGCAGATCTCGTAAACCCCTGTGAACTCATGCGTTAATGTATTCATTTAGCCAAATATGGACTGAGTACCTACTATGTGCTGGGCACCTTACTGGGTCCTAGGGACTAGAAGAGAATGAGATAATCTCTGTCCCCAAGGATTTCAGTCTATCGAGGGACAAGGGAATGTGACAGATAAATATTAATAGATTGAAATAATAATTAGCAAATAAATTATAAAGCAACATGAGGAGTTATGGCGGCTACAGAAACAAGACCCAAGGTACAAGCTTCTCAGCTGGGCCACCTTGACAAAATTAATACTTTGTCTCTATGTGACAGCCTGAAACCCGTGGATAATGGCTGATACTTCATTTTTCCCTGCATAATTTCCCAAACTAATGAATCAATTCAACCCCAATATCCAACACCTCTGACACCTGTGGTGTGGGCCCTCATTCTGCCTGTCCCGCAGGCTTCCTGGGACCTCCACACACAGCCCCAGAGCAGACCTCTCAAAGCCTCAGTTTTCCAATCTGGAAGAGGAAGCCTTGCTAGCTTCAGATGTCTTGTTTGGCAGCAAATGAGATCCTATCTGTCAACCTCTCACCCCTCTATTCAGGTTGACCTGAAGGTAGAGCCAGAAGGGGATCTGAGAACACCCAGTCCAACCCTCTCGTGAGGAGACAGGGTGAGCAGTCCACCAGCCTCCTGGCTGCCTCTCAGTGCAGTCTGCACCTCCCTCCATAGCAAAGCCCACAGGAAAACTAGGGCTGGAACTTCATCTTCCTGCTCTCTTGGCACCTCTGTATCCTTGGAGAATAGCCAGAAGAAAAGCGGCTCAGTCCCACACCACTTCAAAGTGCTATCTCAGATGCTGACTTGGGTGATCTCCCCCTTGGGCATTTTGGAGGCTCCTGCCCAGGTGCAGGAGAAAGACCAAGACCATCCAGCTGTGTAGTCAGAGACTCCGGAATGATGTTATACACCAATCCTATGACCTCATCAGTGGGTGCCTCTAACAGTCTTATCCAAGACCCAGAGAACTCATGGGGACTAGTTTCCTCCTAGTCCCGGAATTATGTCTCTGAGTCAATGGTTCCTTGTTATCCTTATGCACACAGAAACTCATCCTGTGCCATTTCCCTGTCTGCTGTGACTGCTGGGATACACATTGCAGGATTTGTTGACAACCTCAACAAAGTGTACAAGTCTTTACCACCTTCATTTTGATCACTAAATTTATTCCAGATTTCAATGTAGTTTTCTATCCTTACTTTCCCCTCTCATTGCTCCCAGGTTTCTCATCTGTTTTCCTCAGGTTTCTTACCTATTATTTTTTCTTATTGTTCTGACTATATATTGGAAGTCACCTCAAACCCTTTTGGGGAAGGATTAAACAAACAGCTGTTCTGAAGAAGAAACTGAAAGGAAAGTGCCAAGACAGCAGATATTTGTACTGTGTGTTTCTTTTCACTCAGTGGTGGGGAGGCATTAAAAAAGAAGACTAATAGGAATAAACTTCTATACATAAAACACTAATAACGCTGTTAGAGGCTGGGGCAATAATACTGAGGATCCTTAACATCTGCAAAGCACAGCAAAGCTCATCAGAACAGTCCCTGCCTGTGTCAGCCATAAGGAACAGCTCCATCTCTACCTGGTAGGTAGAGTCCATCATCATTCATGACCTGCAGGCAAGGAGGCTGCAGCCTTATTCTCATTCTGGCCCCTGCTACTTGTGCACCCTTGAGCTGGCTGGAGCCTCTTTTTCCTTACTCTAAAGTGAATCTATGATTCACAGTCCTCCCAATTCTGACACCGCCTACTTTTCAATAAACCAAACCTCTTCTAGCAATGGCAAGTGCCACCATGCTTATAACAAGTATGTGCTTTAAAGACTCCCCATCCATTGGAAATTTTACACAGAGCTACTAAGTCATTATCTCCACCAGCTTCTCAATAATTTCTTTTCTATTTTCTTGCTTGTGATACCAGGGCATGATGGAATGTCAGCTTCACAATGGGATTCAATCTTATTAGCAGAAATCTGATTAGATGATATTTCACTACAGCCCAGAGGCCACCATATCTCAAGGACCGACAGGCCAGCCATGCTAGCAGCACACAGAGACCCATCTGCTCTCCACAGACCTCAGGAGTCTGACACAAGCCTGCGACACGCACAATAAAACACATATGGCACAAGCACGGGCTCTGACCTGGAGAAGGTGTTCCGGGCGTAGTGCATGATGCTGTCAAAGTCGTACGTCTCTCCCAGAGAGCTCACTTCCCCAGCTTCCATTTTTAAGAAATTATACTCCTGACCTGTGACACAATAGTGTGTTAAGGCCTTTGAAAACCAAGGCAGCACCTGAAAGGAGGCAAAGGAGGGAGAAGAAGGGCCCATAGAGACTTCCTGCAACTCTCTTAACTCAGCCAGTGGAAAACGGGGTTTGGATGGCTTCTGGTTGTTTTGAGATTGGAGATTTGAAACTTAGAACAAAGCCCTATGTCCTCCCAGCCCCACCACCCCACACCCTCCCCAAATGCCATGGGAAACTCAACTATGTTTGCAGACAGATTGAGAGTAGTCAATCTATTTGTCCTCCAAGTTTTTTAAATCCAAAAACAGCCCCCCCCAAAAAATCTGATTTTGTAATCAAAGAAACAAAAGAAAATGCATCAAAAAGTTCAATTGCAAATACTTCACAATCCAGATTCTCTAAAGCAGGTTTAAGGTAACCATATAACAGGCTACTTTCATGTTCAGTATCAACTTTTATCTCAAATTATTTAGCATGAAAATATTTTTAATCTAAATATGTTATCTGCTATAGGGCAGAATGCTTCAAGGCAGAAACACTGCTTATATGCACATATATAT